AAGGTAACACTCATTTTACATACAGCACACAGTGGAAATTACATTACTATGGCAGTGGGCAAATGCATAAAGTGCTGCATAATTTGAAATCACGAGTTTAAAGTTTGTCGATCGCGGGTCTCCAGTGAAGCTGGACTCTCCTCCTGTCCGCATTCAATTCACATGGATCGACCGTCGAGCATACGCGATCATGCAGGATACAAATGCACACTTCACAAGATCTCACAGCTGGATTCAACTAAGTTTGCAAGGTTTGTGAAACTAAATGGTTCATTAGTCATTCAAAGATTTGTTTAAATTATATAAATGCATATACAAAACTCATCTCCAATCACCTCTGAGCAGAATAGGATTGGACAGATGGAAAAGGAGAAAAACACAAGAGCTTCAAAGGGGAGCTGTAACATAGCCACATATTTATAGCCAACTAAAATATTGGCTATTCGAACCAAATCTACTCTTAGTATTAGCATAGGCCTACTTGTTTTTTTTTTTAAAACCGCAACCCGGGATTTTTTCACCCAACTTTACAGAAAAAGAAGCCCAAAGTCGCATATAATGCGCGGACTTGGCAAAATAAAATGTAAATTTTTTTTATTTGGTCAAAATAAAAGTCCAGCGCGCAATCAAAATAAAAGTCCGGACTCTAACACATCGGCCAAACAGGAATACTTATCGGCCGATGCCGATATTTAAAAAATGCCAAATATCGGCCGATATATCAGCTTTGGCGATATATCGGTCGACCACTAATCGAAATATGATAAGTGATATTGGTCCAGTATATACTGCATCCTCAGTTAAATGCCTGAAATGAGTTTTGTAGGCAAATATAAATTATGCATTTATATAAAAGTATTTATTTATTTTTTACAAAACAATTTTTAATGAGTAAATATGCATACCAGTAAATACATAACACTTGATGATGCTTTTCCTTCACTGTCCACTCCAACTACAAAATTATTAACAATACTAATAATATATAATTGCATACATGTATTAACACATTTTTAATGTGTTAAAAATATATAAATATTAATAATGTTCATTTAACAAAATTACTATACTAAAATTACTAATAATTTATATTACATACATTATATAATTATACATATCATTTTGAATGAACAATATTAACATTTATTAATGTTAACATTGCATTAACATAATAACTATAAAATAAATAAATAAAATCTTATTTTAATCAATAATATATTAGTTGGAGTGGAAAAGCATAATCAAATAATCATTATAAATAAAGCATCATCAAGCATCCATCAAACATTTTCCTTCTTCACTAGTGTTTAAAAACATCCCATGATGCACCTCATGACGTTGGTTAATGAATGTCCAGAGTGAGCAGAGTTGGAATCCAGACTAATAAGCAGCTCAAATATGAGATTTTTCATCTGTGTTACGTTTTGTTCACTATGTACATAATTCCCACAGCAGCATAAAATCATGTTCTACCACAGCAAACGATTTTCACTTTTTCCAGCATGTTCATGCGTTTGAGCGTCAGCGGGCATTAAGGGCCTAAAGCTCCAGGGTGGGAAAATGAAAAAAAAGAAGGAAAATGTTAATTAAATGAAAGGAAATACACTGATTAAACACTTCTGTGAAGTAATGTCTGGTTGTCAATGACAGAAATAGCCTCAGAAAATGTTTAATCAAGGTTACTGAATTTATGACACCTAAATAACAGCTCGTTTTATGGGCTTCAGGTTCGTTGGGACTGGCACAGCACAACCTTGAACAGACTGTAATTGTGGACTTCCTCTGTAAACGCTGCAATTCAATCAAACGGTAAAAACGTCCGTTTGAATAAACTCACTTTTAAATGATACAAATACGTCGACGTACATAATTAGTAGTGTATTTCTGGCTTTAAAGAATCCTTAATTTGACATCTGATACAATATTTGGATGAATAAAAGGCCTTGGAAAATCTTGGTTTGGATGAATAGTTAATCTAATAATTATGAAATGGTGCTTTAAAATGTAACTATATAAACACTAGTAAAAGATCTTTGATCTGATGAATTCATTCTTTAAAATTAAGAACTACAAGTAAAAAAAAAAAACACATTTTAAGTGCGTCTAAGCTAAATGTAACAGGATGTTTAGAAGTGCTTTAAACAGCAAATAAAAACATAAAAGCTCCATAAAAATACATTAAACACCTTTGATCTAGTGGATTCATCCAACAACTACAAGTAAACATTTTTAATTAGCCTGTTACAGGGTAGGCTTGCTGCGATAGACGGTGCTGACGGTGATACCGGTGTTAAGCCGCAACACCGTTTACGTCACTTGCCCACCGCGTCACCGACCCCCACCATTGTTTTGATTTTTTATAGTAATAAAAATCATTTAGTTCAGTAAAAGAACAGACACTACAAGTAAAAACTGAACGCGGCTACTCAATGCAGCGTGCCGAACGACAGTCGCATCACAGATCAGATTTCATTTCTCCAGTGAGGAGAGTGAGTTGAGCTGACTGACAAGAAGAGTGAGGTGAGACAGACAAGACGATGGCGGATTATTTAGTTTCGAAACGAAATGCAAAAGTGCCTGTTTTGCAATATTTTGGATTTTGAAAAGCCTGTTGACTTTTGCCTTTTATCTGATTTTGGAAGTTTTTTTAAACATTCGTTTCTTATTTAATTGGTTCCACATTATTTGCTGATTCGCCTGTTTGGCAATATTTTGGATTTTGAAAAGCCTGTTGACTTTTGCCATTTATCTAAGGTGATTTTGGAAGGGTTTTTTATTTCTTATGGAAGGGTTTTGGAAGGGTTTTTTATTTCTTATTTCTATAACGTTTCTTATTTAATTGGTTCCACATTGTTTGCTGATTTTTACTTTATTTATTACAGGGTGATCAGAAGTGCTTTAAACACAGCAGATCAAAACATAAAAATGTGCGTAAAAATACATAAATGTTTTTATATCATGCATTTTTTCCCCTAGACTTACCTACCATAACTTAACAGAGCGTATGTTTACCGAATAATGTCTAAACGCCAAAACACTGATGAATGCTAGCAAACCAATTTACTTCTGTAACTACTTATATTTCAGAATGAAACAGGATATTCAACGTGAAAAAAACTGGTGAAATCTAATTTAAGAAGAATTTAACACATGGTGACGCCATATAGTCGCATTTAGCAGCTCTAATCGAACTGGCATGAAGATATTAAGATACTATTAACACTAACGTTATGATTTCCTGTAAATGTGACACGACTAAACGGGATTGATATCACACAAAAAGGAAAATTCTTTCAGAAGCGAAGTAAGTTTGATGAATCACTCAGAATACGAGCATGTAGGAACACGTAGTAATAAAATAAACAGCACTTCACAATGACAATCTCCTGCTCCAAGATATCTGTCCCCAAATCTGCTGAGCAACCTAAAAAAAGACAATGGCGGTTGAACAGAAGTTCCTCATTTGCAGTTTAGTTTTGCTTTAGGGGTCACTGCACGAACACTTCATGGAAAGAAATCAGAACCTATGTTCTCGCTCTATGTTGCCCTCTTTTGCAAAATTTCCGAATGCACCACACCAGAGCAAAACCACCTCCTAACATGGGCCGGTTCCCACCACAAACCTCCGAGGACAGAAAGAGGCTGTTCTCTCCTCACACTGAAACAATTCCCTCTTAGATTTTATAATGCAGGCAATAATGCAGATAATAGTCAGAGAAGCTTCTTTGGGGTCAGGAAACTTTCAGAAGAGCAACACATTAGACAGCAAGCCATGGAAAAGCTTCTGCGTTCAGACATGGAGACTCCGCAATCCAAACGGAGTTTCAATGTTCTTCCATCTCTCAAGTTACACTCTAGATGAGGAGCAAGAGTCCTAATGACACTGCGCTGCTTCTGCGGATGGTTTTCCTCGCTCACGCTCATTTTTCAGTGATATTGATGAGGGAGGGCTGTTAAGAGCAGATTCATGCCAAAGCTTCTGTCTGCATTTTGGTTAATGACTCTCGCTGATTGACTGTGGCGTTCAAAATTACCCCTCGACTGGTAAAATGCTGTTGATGAGGGGAAAAATATTTTTAATATCTTACGTACAAAATCATTCATACGGAAAACATGCTAAGCGGCAAATATATGAAAGTACAATACATTAACTAGGGTTGGGAATCGAGAGCAGGCACTCATTCAGAGGTTCCATTTTTTTAATCATTTTCATGATGTTCCGATCCATTAACAGTTCTAAAAGATTTGAATTTTTGAATCTGAATTCTAACAAAATATGGTTTGTTGTCATGGCGATCAACATGCATCTTATTTTCTGTCAGCAATAAAGGAGCACTTGATTCATGGATTCTCAACTCTGAATCAGTGGCAGACCATAAAATGGATGAATTTATTGGAAAATACTACACATATCGTACCTGAATCCAGCACATCATCATCTTCGATGGTTTTGAGGACTTTGGATTTGTAGTCTCTGAACTGCATGTACCTGATGAGTCGCTGTAATTTTTTCTGATAGAAAAAAATAACAGGTTTAGCATTCAAACTAAAACAATCTCCATCCATCTATTCATCCCACAAAATTATCTTTTAGTTTCAGACAGTTTAGTTCTTTCTAGCTGGCGATGTGTTCACAATACTGAACTAACATTGTGAATAATGAAATATTGCAAAAATCAATATTGTCGCTAATTAAACAGGCTCAGTTTCCATCCATCTTTGCATCTCACAAAATGATCTTTTAGTTTGAGTCTCTTCACAACATTAAAAAAAATTATATCCTTTCTAGAGCTGGCTGATGCGTTCAGAATAATTTTGCTGCCGACACTGAATTAAGCAGCATTATGAATATTGCAATATTGCAAAAAATGAATACTGTCTCTATTTTAAACGTTAGGAGAAAAAATAGACCTTAAAAGGGATAATTCACCCATAAATGAAAATTACCCCATGCTTTACTCATCCTGAAGCCATCGTAGGTGTATATGACGTTCTTCTTTCAGACAAATACAATCAGAGTTATATTAAAAAAAATATCCTGGCTCTTCCAAGCCTTATAATGGCAGTGAATGGCGGTCGAGATTTTGAAGCCCAAAAAAGTGCATCCATCCATCATAAAAAGTGCTCCACACAGCTCCGAGGGGTTAATAAAAGTTTTATTAACGTTTATTAGCGTTTGTGTAAGAATAATATCCATATTTAAAACTTTATGAACCGTAATCTCTAGCTTCCGCTGTCGTATGCGCGTTCACGAGAGAGTGGCGTTCCAGCAGTCGTCCATTTCAATGAAACTAAAACAATCTTTGCATCCTACAAAATGATCTTTTAGTTTTGGTTTCTTCACAACATTCAAGAAAATGATTCTGAATTAAGCAGCATTATGAATATAGCAATATTGCAAAAATTATATATATATATATAGAGAGAGAGAGAGAGAGAGAGAGAGAGTTAAAGCTAGTAAGTTTGATTCATTTCGGTGAATCAGTTGTCCATTTCAAAGAACTGATTTGAAATTATTATGGAAAATGTGTGGAAAACCTTTGTTTTATTGAAAGATTATTTTTATAGAAGTTTATTGTTTCAGTTCTTGCATTAAACATATTTAATCTACTTACCCTCTTCACTGAAATCACATAAATATCATAAAAAACTAGGGCTGCACGATAAATCGCATGCGATATTTAACGCGCATCTTATCAGTAAAGCCGGTTCTGTAATCAGCGGTAAATCTCCATCACCTGCGGGCTTTCACATTGAGCAGCATTAACTACACAGAGCCGTTGTTCACTGACGAGCAGCGCAAGAAATCGCACGAATATGAACGTGGTTTTGCGCAGCTCGTCAGTGAACAACGGCTCTGTGTAGTTAATGCTGCTCAATGTGAAAGCACGCAGGTGATGGAGATTTACCGCTGATTACAGAACCGGCTTTCTGACAAGATGCGCATTAAATATCGCATGCGATTTATCATGCAGCCCTATAAAAAACCCTAAAAAATATCTAAATAATGTTTTATTGTATCAACCAAGCCCTGATTCTTGCTTTTAAACAGAAAAGCAACAGAACTACAAAAACAATAAAACTACTCAATAACCAAAGCAGTAGTCCATAAATATGAAGGCTAATGATTTATGTTGTGGTAATGTCTCATATTGGTGTGCTTTTACCTTGTCTTTCCTCATTAGAAATATGATATCCTCTGGTGAAATGGCCCTGGCCCCTCTCAGGAGGGCCACCTCTGCAGCCTGATGGAGCTGCAGGAGGAAAGAAAGAAAGAAATGAAGGCAATTCAACCAGCAAAGAAAGCGGGAGTATGTAACAATCAGTGCTTGGCAACATCAACCCAAAGCTGTTTTTAAAATCAGCGCTTTGTGAATAACTGACGCACTGCATCTACAGCATGAAGACCTTGAGGAAACCGATAAAGGCTTTTATTTTGAGAGCAGGTCTTGAGTCACTTGGCGTGACGTGAGTCTTGTGCAAGAACGTCTAACTTTGCTATTTCTGCTCAAACAGGTCAGAAAATGTCCTTGAGTGCATTGCAAACAGAGAGAAATGCATCAAAACAACAGATAAAAATGAACCAGGCACAGCAAAATACCATGTGGTGCTTGTCTGGATATGAAAACAAGATAAGCAGTCTAGAAATAGGATTAATTGCTTATAGCAAAATGTGTTTTATGTGTCCTGGTTTAATGTAAAGACATAATTGACCTTTCTATCAGCATGCGAGGTTTACAGAGGAATGTCTAAATCATATGCAACTAAATCTTTAAGCTCGAGAAGGACAAAAAACCTGCAATGAAATATGTCTGGTGAAGTGCTATAATTTCACTTTGTTGCCAAAAGAGGAAAAACAGCTCATCCATCATGGTGGAAATGATAGCTGTTCTTATGTAAATCAACATATCCCATGAACGCTCTAGAATTATGGCAAATCTCATGGAAGGACTGTAGTGTTAACTTACTGATATTTTTAAACCCGTCCTTACAAAAGGATAAAAAAGGAGGATCGAGTTTAACAAAACTATTCTTTGTCAAACTGCTTTGGACGCGAATGTGAAAAGTGCTATATAAATACACTGAACTGAACTGAACTGAAGCAAACTAATGATCTGTGACGTATATAATAACAAACACACAAAAAGAGCAAGATCTGATTACTTGTAGAGCTGGTATTTCTTAGTTTAAAAGATGATTTCATGTTGAGGATGTACTTGTATATGAGAACAAAATACAATCTGAAAAATGTAAAGCAAATACCATCATGTAATTATCAAAACAGTTAAACAAAAAATAAAAGATGACATTAGGAATATAAAAATATCTGAAAATAAGAAGAAAATTTAAAAGACCATTATGACTTTTTGCATTTAAAAAGATCAAATAATTATTGATAATTTATATGATTTTATATGCTTACGGTTATTAATTTTTTAACTGGTATATAATAAAATTTAGATTAATGTGAATCACAAAAAAAACTTAAATATTAAAATATTAAAATAAAAATATTAAAGTAAATTTTTAAATATATTTTATTTTTATTTCAGTTAACATTTATTTTGTTTCAGGTAATGAAAGAGATTTATATTTTAAGTTTATTATTATATTTCAAGTTTATTAAGTGTATTTTAGTTTTAAGTAACGATAATAAAGCCCTAATAAACAGTCCTAAAAAAGTCATATTTTATTTTATTTATTTGTATTTTATTCTTTCTTTTAATTTGAAAAAAAAAAGATTTTTTTTTTGAGTTTGATTAATTTATGTGAATCAGTTCAGACTGTCCATTTAAATTAATAATTTATTTCAAATAAAATAATTAAAATTATTTTTGTAGTTTAAAATGTATTTTGTAATTAATGAATTTTTTTAATGGTTTCAGTTTTAGTTAACAATAATAACCTCGGTAAAAAATTAAAATAAACAGTCATAAAAAGGTGCATTTTAATTTACTCAAAATATAGTTTTTTTCTTTTTTTTAAATGAATCAATTCAAAACTCTTGATTGCTTTGATTGAATCATCCGTCAAGCAGGTTCATCATGTGCCATTTTTCAAGTACTAAATGTTTTTGTAAAAAATATTTAGGAAATGTGTGTAAAACCTTTATCTGTCTTGCTTCATGAGAAATCAGAGGAAAAACATCTGTCAAAAAAATTATTGCATTGTGGTATTGATAATTGTGCTTAATTGTCATTAAAATAAATTTAGAATGAAAAAAAAAATAATTGTCCTAAAAATAAGGTTGAAATTTTGAGATTTTGTGATTATTGACTATCGGACCTGAACTTTTTTTTTTTAATATATATATATGTTTGCTTTTTCATTTTAAACTGAAAATGCACTGGAAAAAACAGAAACCTTTCAGCATGCAATCCTCAATAAAGAGCTCTTGTTGGTAAAACCACTGAAGGGCCCTTGAAATATCCTCGACTCTGGAGTGCAACCGACTACAACTCGTCCAAAAAAGAAAAAGATGATATTCTTCATGAAGAGGCACAACTTCAACTTAATCCACCTTGAGTCCTGGAATACACACAAGCAGTTCTCGGCGTCTGTAAACATTTGCTGGTCATAAATATATTTGCTCAGGAACGTTCATGTGAGTGTGCGAGCGGGACGGACCCCACACATGCACACACAGGGGGAGCATTTACCGCCGCACCACAAGACTTTAATATAGATCTCTCTGGCCTGGCATCACACCAAGGTCGACATACCGGCTGCCATGTCTGTCCCACCGTTTCACAGAGGAATGGTTTTTAATAGACAAAAATGGCTGTAAGTATGTAGAATCTCATCCCCCACTCTCCACACGCACCCAGCCAAAATTCCCATCATCCTCGGAAACCAGAACCACTTTCCTGAGGAATTATATTTATAAAGGATAGTATTCTGATGTACAATGATACATTAACAATTTTATGACCCATTCGACTAGATCTGAACTAGAAAACTAAGAGTAATAATACAGTTTATAATCATTTATTCTCTTAACCCTTGCTTATAAATCTCTCTTATGCTATATTATCACCAAATCTTGGATTCAATCTTTTTGTCAATTTGTTTTCTTTTTTTAGCGCAGGTTTTGTATTTATTTTTTGGACTGATTGGTCATAGATCAAATATAATATAATATAATATAATATAATATAATATAATATAATATAATATAATATAATATAATATAATATAATATAATATAATATAATATAATATAATATAATATAATATAATATAATATAATATAATATAATATAATATAATATAATATAATATAATATAATATAATATAATATAATATAATATAATATAATATAATATAATATAATATAATATAATATAATATAATATAATATAATATAATATAATATAATATAATATAATATAATATCATACGCTCAGATCAATTAGGCCTATATATAATATTATATAATGTAATGTAATGTAATATAATTAATATAATATATTTTTGAATTATACTTTATTAAATAAAATTAAATATTTTTTAAATATATATATATTTTTTTTTTTAATGAAAATGAGAAAGACAAAATTACTAAAACGTACTTTTTAAATTAAACTATACTTTTTTTTTTTTACAAGTAGCTATAGCCTGTGTGAGGTAAGTCAGTAAGTTTTAGTGCAATGCGATAACATTAACTAGCATTTTCGGGAAAAAGAAAATCCTCTCACAACATCAGGGTTAAATGTATATAAACCTATTTAAAGCAAAACATTTGATTGAATTTGGCCCAAAAGGAAAAAAAACAAACAAAAACAAAACATGATCCCTTAAAAGTCTCACAGTGCGGCTCTTTTCAGGCTTAAGGAAGGTTTTTCCGTACCATTTGCAATCCCTGGCTCGCAAACCTGTCTTCTGCAAAATATCAGATTAATTTTAGTAATTGCTCTAATTTTACAGGTTGATCAAAGCTAAATGAAGTTGGGCTGTTATTCCATTCACTCATGAACACTGGGATCTCTGTGGTCTTTT